GAGGTCGCCAGGCCCTGTGCACACAAGAATATCCCATGTGTGGTTCAAGCAATGCAGTGGATTAAATCCACCATCTGTAAACCCAAGTGCTACTCTTTATTGAGCTGGGAAGGTGGCTCAGTAGTAGAGCGCTTGCCTTGCATGCATGAGGCCGTGGGTTCGATTCCTCAGCACCACATAAGAAGAAAAAGCCGGAAGTGGCACTGTGGCTCAAGTGGTAGAGCGCTAGCCTTGAGCTGAAGAGCTGAGGGACAGTGCCTAGGCCCAGAGTTCATCCCCCATGACCAACAACAGCAGCAAATATATATATTTATTATTACTGAAGCCTTTTTAGAAAATTTAAATTTTATAAAAAGCTGGGACCCCCCCTCCTGCTGCTCTGAGTGGTCCCTGGATGTCATCCCCAATCGTGTTCCCCCTCTCTCCACCCCCCCCACCCCTGACATTTCTGGACAAGGTGAATGGGCAAGTGAGGGCCAAATGTCAGATCCAGGCATCAAGGTGGCCCTGGGGGGCGGGGTCATAAACGGAGGGGGCCTGCGGTTTGGGAATGTCCCTTTTTTTCTCCAACTCACCTTTCAAAAAAGCACCTCCACGGAGAGGTGACCAGAAGAGGAGGGAGGACAGGGATCGGAAGGGGAGGGAGAGGGTGGGAGAACAAAGGCTCTCATCTGGACTTTCACACCCACTTGGAGCTGAATGGTGTCACCGGAATGGGACTTTGTTGTCGGGTGCTGAGGTGGCGGGAGGAGACTCTGACAAAGGCCCACACCCCGGCCACCCGGAGTCACCAAGGCCAGAACAGGAGAGCTGAGGAGTTGCTGAATGCCCAGGGCTGCCTGAGCTCAGCAGGGCAGGCCCCCAGGTGGCCCCCAAGAGGAGCCGGGAACCCTGAGCCTAGCTGGGAACTTGGCCATGCATGAGCTCCCCCTGGATTCCCAGGCTGGAGACTGGGAAGGAGGGTTCATCCTAGGAGAGCCAGGGCAGGGCTTCCCGGACAAGCCAGGCAGAAGAAGGGCTGTGAAAGGGTCAGCGGAAGGTCCCTCGGCTTCAAATCTTTCCTGTTTCCTTTTGGTCCTGCTCTCACCATGGCGGACACCATGTGGTCTAGGAGCACTGTGCCTAATCTGGTTGGAATTTCCTCCTCCACCCACCTGGCATGCTCCCCACAGGCTTGAGCACTCCTGACCAGACCTGGGGTTTCTCATTTCTACTCCCAAGTGTCAGTCTAGACCACTGCATCACCTGCCACTTTGGAATCGCAGTTAGAAACTCCTAGACAACCCTGGGTTGGAGAAGCTCAGGTAAGAAAAGCAAGCTGTGCCTCTCCCTCAGCCCTGCGGAGACCCTGTGAGTCACAGCATCCCTGGGGGCAAAGGTCACAGCAGCCTGGTCCAGTACCAACGAGTCAGCACAGGTACCACTTGGTGTAGGGAATAAGGAAAAGAAGACAGAGCCAGGCAACAGTGACTACGTCTGTAATCCTAGCTACTCGGGACACTGAGAGCTGAGCACGATGATTCAAAAACAGCCCAGGCAGGAAAAGCCCATGCAACTCTTATTTCCATTTAATCACCAAAAGGAGAGAAGTAGACCTATGGTTCAAGGGGTAGAGAGAGTTCAAGTCCTCAGGGAAAAGCCAAGCAAGAGTAAACTGACACGCAAAAAAATTAATAATAATAATACACAGGAAGGAGGAAACTTGAAAAATCAAATTGCTGCCATTCTTTCAAATTAGTTTAATAATCTCAGCTGTTGGCAGTTGAAGCCTCAGGTTCACAGTACTGAGGAGTCTTCAACAGTCACCAACAGCTACAGGTGGATTTCACACTGCCAACAGCATTACACACACACACAGCATTATACACAGCATTACACACACACACACACACACACGCACACGCACAGCATTTCCAGTCTGTGTATCTCCAGACTGCAGGACAGGCCTGCTTCTATTTTATACTCTCACCAAATTCTCTTTAAAAGCTGCACCCAGCCAGGTGCTCACCCAGCCTGGTGGCTCACACCTGCAATCCTAGCTACTCAGGAGGCCGATATCTGAGGATCATGGTTCAAGGCCAGCCCAGGCAGGAAAGTCCATGAGATTCTTATCCCCAATTAACCCTCAGAAAACCAGAAGTGGCGCTGTGGCTCAAATGGTAGAGTGCTAGCCTTGAGCTGAAGAGCTGAGGGACAGCGCCCAGGTCCAGAGTTCAAGCCCCACAACCAACAAAAAAAAGACCAAAAAAAATTAAACTTTTGCTCATCCTAAAACAATTCACATGGATTTGGCCTTGGCTATAAAGGTTATTTTAAAATTTGAAGTCATATAAAAGGACGACACGAGTTGTATGTTGACAGAAAAAGGTGAGTTAGTGATGTGGTTAAATATGCCATTGTAAGAGTGACAAAACTAAGGCACAGAACAGTTGTCCATGGTAGAAAACAAATAGGAGCGGGGCTGGCAACCCAGCCTCCTGACTCAATTTCTCACAGTGCACATAATCCAAAATGTTTCAGAGGCGCACAGCTGTGGTCTTCCAAGGAACTATACCCTGTCACCTCATGCTGGGCAGATACTGCACTGACTAGGGCAGACCCTGGGTTCATGGATGCTTTCCTTGTGGCATATAATTAATTCTCTCCAAGCCTCTTGTCTCTGCTTCAAAACCAGGAAGAAAAATCCTTGCTGCCCCTTCCAAGAAAGGTGCAGAGAAAAGATGAAGCATGGACCACCAGCCCCGCATTCTGAAGAACTGCAGTGTACCAAAGGGTTAGAGACGGGCTGCTGGAACTAAACACACTTGCTGACTAGCTAACCCGGTGCTTGTCTGTGACAGCAGCCTCTTCCACCCCATCTCCACGCTCAAGGGTCCCCACGTGGAAACTGTTAGGGAAGGTACTACGCGGCACACAGGTGAGGTCTGAATCAACCACAGAAAAAAGCAAAGAGGAGGAGGGGCAGGGAGACCTACACACAGAGCACGTAGACAAGGAAGACAAATACCTCCACTTTCAAAAAAAAAAGGCATCACTAATTATTTCTAATCCTAAAAATAAGTTGAAACAAGCTGAGCACTGATGGCTCATACCTGTAATCCTAGCCACTCAGGCTTTGATAGAGGTTCAACGCCAACCTGGGCAGAAAAGTCTATGAAATTCTATCTCCAAAACAGCTGGGCTGGAAGCATGGCTCAAGTAGCAGGAAGCTTCGAGTTCAAACCCCAGTACAAGCGAAAAAGAAAAAGAAAACAGTCGAAATCATACTCAGACTCAAATTTATGGCCCAGAAGCCCACGGGTCTCAACAGTGGTGGCACCCTCTAACAGAGTGAATGCTTGTCTCTATAGCCTGGGCCCACTCTATTCACATCTCCCCACACTTGGCCCAAGGCACTCAAGACAATAGTTTTAAACACAGGAAGTTTTACTACCTATCGGGCTCTTTTTCTAAACGAATGTTACCTAGGTCTTCCCTGGAGGAGCTTTGAAAACCTCAGAGACAAAGTCTCTCCCCTATCCCCTCAGTAACAGTAGCAAATTTCTTCCTCTGGTTCCTTGCAGAGAAGATAGAAGAGTCAATGAGCCCAGCCCAGCAGCAAGCTGGAAGGAAGGACTCGCCTTCCTGGAAATCCCATGCCTACTTTCACTGGACTCAGCCTGTCAGTCTGTCCACCAGCTCTGAGGCACAGTGGGAGCCAGACATTCTCCTCTTCACCTCCGCTCATCAGGAGCCTGATTCATCAGGCTACAGCTGCCGCTGCTGCAGTGCTATGGACCCAGCCTTGTAAGATGACCTCCATCCAAGAGCTTCCCAAATTCCCCTAAAGCACAGTGGAGCTCCGATAGTTCCCTCCCAGTCAGGGCAAGCTTAATCCATTTGCCTCTGGGTGCCTCCGTTTCATGTGTTACTTCCCAGACTGCACTGGGCATGAGATGAGTTTGCTTATTAAAAATGTCATGAGTAACAATCTGTCCTGCTTTTTGCTCCTTTCTATGCCCTGCCATGGACAACTCTGAGGGACAGGAAAATAACAAGTGGTAAAGGTGTGTGTGGGGGTGGGTGTGTTCTTGGGGCTTGAACTCAGTACCTGGACCCGGACCCTTAGGTTTTTCCCTCAAAGCTGGTGCTTAATCACTTGAGTATTAAATCCCCTTTTGGCTTTCTGGTGATTAACTGAGGATAAACATCTCCAGGACTTTCCTGCTGGGGCTGGGCTTCCAACTACGATCCTCAGATCTCGGTCTCCAGAGCAGCTAGAATTACGGGCGTGAGCTAAAGCTGTCTCTCCACAGAAGTGTTATGTAGAGCAGCTGGGGGAGTGACCAGAACAAACTTCTGTTACACAGAACCAACTCTCCAGGCCATCCACCTCCCCGTCAGCAGAAGAAGTCACTGTCCGGCTACCTGGGAACCCCAGAAAAGAAGGGACGCTAGAGGGTCACGGAGGGGACGCTGAACCAGTGCCCGCCAACGAGCTGCCCCGGGCAGGAAGACGCCCAGCCGTCCGACTGTCCCCAAAACAACCCGGGAAGCGCGGCCCTGAGAGCGAGCGTGGCTGGCGCTTCCCCTGCGGCGAGCGCCCGGGGAAACGGCGCACGTGGAGTGCGGGCGGCCGGCGCCCGCGCGCGCCGCCGGTGCGGACCCGCAGGGAGGACCCCTCCCCAGCCGAGGCCGGCCGCGCTCGCCCCGAGTCCTCCCCGGCCCCAGCGCCACCGAAAGCGGTGCGGGGCACCGGGACCCCTCGCGGGACGAGGGGAGGCCCGCCCGGAGGCCTCCGCGCGCGGCGGAAGGAGCAGCGCGGCGCGTCTCCAGGAGACTGGGGAGACCCCGGCCCGCCCCCCCCCCGGCCCGCCCCCCCCCGGCCCCGGCGCCGGGGACAGCGCGGGGTCCCGGCGCCGCGCCTCGGCCGGCGCTGCGCGGGATGCAGACGCGCGCGTGCGCCCCGGCTCCCGCGCGGCGGGCTCCTCCTCCTCCCCCGCAGCCCGCCCGCGCCTCACCTTCACCGAGTCCACCGGGTACATGATCGAGTGCTCCAGGATCCCGGCCATCGCTCCGGCTGTCATGTGCGTGGACACCGCGGCGCCGGTCGGCAGGTTCTCGTAGTCCTCCGACCCCGCGTCCTTGCAGCCGCCGCCGCCATCTCGGCAGTCCCCATCCATCCTCCGCCCTACGGCCTGGCTCCCCACGCCGCCGCCGCTGCGCAGCTCCATGCGCCGGCCCCGCGGGACGCGGGAGGCCGCGGGAGGGACCGGGGCGGGGAGGGGAGCGGGCGGAAAACTTCACTTCTTAAAGCGGGAACCACCTCCCCGGGGCCACGGCGCCTGACGCCATGGCGGGCTGGGGGAGGAGCCGAGGGGCCGCAGACACCAATGGCTGGAAAGAAGAGGCCGGCGACCGCCGCGCCATTGGCGCGCGGGGCGCCGAGCACCCGCCCCTCTGTGTGACGCCACGGCCCCTGCACCTCTCCCGGCAACCGGACGGGGGCGTGAGCCGGCGATGGGAATGGTTGGCCGGGGAAGCGGTGCTGGGCGAGCCGGGGCCGGGGTGGTGCCGGCCTCGCCGGGGGCAGCGGGAGGGCTGGTGGAGAGACCGCGACCGCGGCAGCCCCTCCCCAGGCGGTGGGGAGCCTGTGTGCCCAGAGCCCGCGGTTTAGCAGCTTGACTGGAAACGTCGGCCGTGAAGCCGCTGCCGGTGGTCGTGGGAGGGGCCGTCGTAGAACGGAGGCCACACCTGGCTACCGGTGCGCCCGCGCGCGCAGGAGGCGCTGAAGACTCGGGGTTCCCCTCTAGGCGGCCTTGCTGGGGAGCACCCCACTTAGTTCAAGGTTGTTTCTGTCGCTCAAAACGTACAAGATCCTCTTCTAGTTTTCCCAAAGAGGTCAAGTCTACCCTTCCCCGGTGTGCCCGCCAGCACCCGTCACCAGGAGACGGCGCTTGGACGGGCGCCTCCGTCCCTGGCACCTTTCCTGTGCGTTTGGACGGTCTTTAGAGACCTGCCGTGCCAGTGGTGCCAGGTGACTGTGTAAAGTCTTGCAGTCGACAGCTACCTGTCTTTTAAAACAAGGGTCCCAACTGGCTGCTTCAGTCCATGCTACCCCAGACTGCTTTAACATTGGGGGGGGAGGGGGATCAAAAACAACAGAGGCATCTGTCTGCTTGTCATGTGCCAGGGCTGAGTGGGGAGGGGCTGATCTTCAGCTGGGGGGGGCCTCCCTGCCTTATCTGGAGGAGGCTTCTGGGCAGGAGAGCTGGACCTTGAGATAGGCAAGGGTGGAGGAGCCCCTGAAGTGGCCGTGCCTGCCAGAGTTCCATCACCATATGCTAGGCTGCTGGGGGGAGGGGGGGGGGGAATGTGAGATACCGGGATGAGCTCTTCAGTAGAGGACCACAGAGATGACAAGGTTCAGGGTACCATTTCCCCACCTTTCCACAAGTAGCCAAGTGTGTAGTAGGAACACACTTGGAGGTTTCTTGACAGCTAAGGAAATATTCCTCTACTTTTGTCAAAAGCGATATTTAAGAAATGTGGATCAGAAGTCGTCAACACTCATTTAAAACTAGAAGCCCTCGTCCCGCTTCTGAGGACAAGATACTCAAAGTCTGAACGATGCTTCGGCAGCTCTTTGCCAGAGTAATATTCAAAGCTGTAAATAATTAGAAGCAAGCCCAAATGTTCATTCAAGGGAGCGTAGCTAAATAAATTATGGCATGAGAATTAGTTAAACATTATGCTGCCACTAAAGACCATGATCCTATTACACAATCACATAAGAAATGATTTGTGTAATGTTAGGCAAAAAAGCAAAGCAAAATATACTGTAGCCATTGCCTTTGCAAAAATGTAAATACACGCAGGAAAACATGAAATGTCTTTTGTGATGGTATTAGACATTTGCAGACAACTATTCTGAATTCATACTTTGATACTTGCATTATTTCTATCTTAAAAGAATGTCATCTTTTTTAGGACATATATGCCACCTCTTCATGAAAAAAAAACCCTCGGGGCTGGGAAGGTGGCTCAGTGGTAGAGTGCTTGCCTTGCATGCATGAGGCCCTGGGTTCGATTCCTCAGCACCACATAAGCAAAAAGCTGGAAGTGGCGCTGTGGCTCAAGTGGTAGAGCACTAGCCTTGAGCTGAAGAGCTGAGGGACAGCGTCCAGGCCCAGAGTTTAAGCCCCACGACCGAACCCCAAAAAAAAAACCCTCAACTGTGATGCTGGTGGAAAAAAATCAGCTTTTGGATGGATTCTTAGCAAATATAAATATGTACACTTCTTCTGAGAGATAAGATGATTTTTATATTTCATCAACTGTTAAGTTAGAAGTCTAAATCTTTGAAAGGGTTTATAGATGTTCGGTATCATCTTCTTTATGGAACTGGGTTTTGAACTCAGAATCTTGTGCTTGCTGGGCTCCACCATTTGAGCCATGCCCTCGGTCCCTTTTTTTGCTTGTTATTTTTCACATAAGGTCTCATCCTTTTTTGCCCAGCCAGCCAAATTATCCTAATGACATCTCCCACGTAGCTGTGATCACAGTCACGAATCACCATCTCCAGCTTGTTTGTTGAGATGCAGATCTCAATTACTTTTGGCCTGGGCTGGCCTCAAACATGATCCACCTGACCTCTGCCTCTTGAGTAGCTGAGATTACAACCATGGGCCACTTTGTCCAGCCTTAAGTATCCAGTATTTTTTTCCCTAATTCTCTATAACTGATAGGTTGGTTGTACTGAAAAACAGCCACATTTCCCATCCCTCTTGCATCCAGGAGCCTGAATATGAATGATAGTCTGCCCGTAGGTGATGGGTGGGATCTGAAAGGCAGAGTAAGACTAAGGCCCTACCTGCTGCTTTGATGCTTTCTGACCCCTGGGAAGGCTGCAGGCACTTAGGGTGAGAGCAGTTGGGTAAGACAGTGGCTTCCTTGTTGTAGCAACACTGCAGCCTCCCAGCACTAATTTCAAAGCTGTTGAGAAGCTTTGATGGCAGGTGGTATGGCAGCAGTGATGGTGGCAACCTCCTGATCCCTGCACTACAGCTTAGTTGGTGACTTGATGTCTCGGGTTTGAGGATGTAGCGGAGGAAGCTAGTCCCCTGAGAAGCCAAAGGAATAGCTGTGGATCTGAGAGGGGCCCTTAGTGGCCCAGCCTTGAGTCTGACCCAACAACGTCGTGCTTAGCAGTAGAAGGGCTTGTTGATGAGGATGGGGATGAAGGTGGTGGTGGTGGTAGTGATGATGATGATGATGATGATGATGCAGGAGTCACACCTGGACATGGAAACACAACAGCCATCCCTTCTTCCTCCTGTGGGGAAGGCCTATAGCACCACATACACCATAGCCCAGTGCTCTGGTCCTACCCAGCACCAAAGGAACAGCTCTTTTTTTTTTAAAGACAAGAGCTCAGGGACCCTGAAGCAGACAAGAGGCTGCTAGGTGGATTCTCTCCCTTGGGGCAGACCAGGAGACTCAGGATGACTTACTGCTTCTGCCAGTGGCTTGCATAACATTCCTTAACGTTAGCGTGGTGGTGTCATGCTGCTCTAGGCACAGGGGAAACCAATCTTGGTGTAGCAAGAGGAAGCCGCTGGGCACGCAGGATTGAAAGCACCTGGCTTGGGCTCAGAGCCTATTGACTGCACCATTTACTAAGACTTGTTTGGCTATGGGGCTCCAGTTGGTTTGACATGCTTCCTTTTCTGTAGACCATGGCCCTGGGTACTTAACCACAGACAGAGTAAAATATGAGGCTGTGGGAGGGGGGGATCATTTAAATAAGTAAAAATCACCGACCTCAGTGCCAAATCAGCCCCATAGCTCCCTCTGGAATTCCTCCCTCACTTCTGCTCTTTCATCCTGCTGGGCTGTGGTCTCCATGTCTCCTTCCTCTGCACTCAGTCCCAGAAGCTCCTTTCCTCCCTTCCCAGTGGTCTCTCTCCAGCCCCCCACATCACAGTCACACACTGTTTTGTAGACTGTCCTCTCCTCTCAGGATTTCATGTACTTCCCAGACTCACCCCATCCCCCAACTGTTCTGCCTTACAAGGAACTCAGAGAGCCTGTGCTGAGACCACTATAACACACACACACACACACACACACACACACACACACACACACACACACACACACACACACACACCACACCACACCACACCACACCACACCACACCACACCACAAGATGGCTCAAAACAACAGAAATACATTTCCTCGCAGTTCTAGAAGCTAGAAGTCTGAACTCCAGTGCAGCCAAGCCAAGCGCTGAAAGCTGTGACGGCGGGACTTGCTTGCCTCTTGCAGCTCCCAGCAATGCTGACAATCTTTGGTTTCTGGACACAGGACATCAATCCCTGCCTCCCATGTGGCTTTCTTCCTGTGTGTGTCCGCATCCATCTGAAGCTCCCTCTTCTTACAAGCATGCCTACCATATTGGATTTGGGGGCTGCTCTAATCCAGTATGGTCTCACTTGAACTTGATTACAGGGGAAAAAAAATTGCAAACAAAGTCACACTCACAGGTTCTAGGTGAGTATGAGTTTTAGGGAAACATTATTCAGTACAGTGAGGTGGAGGCAAGGTTCCAGAAAACTGGGTACTAGCCTCTTATCCTCACTCCTTTTATCTGTGAAACAATGACCCTGGGTTAGACTCAGACATGGCCCGGTCCCCTCTAGCCTAAAACAAAGTCCATAATCTTTCCTCATGACCATCAGCTCCTAAAGCTATCGTTCCCAGGTTTTATTTCAGTTTTACCAGTTACCCATCTGGCCAGCTTACTTCTTTTTATTTTTATTATAACAGTAGGGTTACAGTCACTCACTTCTTGCTTCCTTTTCCTGTTGCTCAGATCTTGTTCACAGTGTATGAGTGTGGCCTGTGCCAGATTTATCATCCAAACTGGAATACTTTTTGAGAATGGGGGGTGGGGGGGAGATACTGTTCACATTTACTTCAAGACAGAAGGCACAAACAGACTGGGAAAACCAAGCCAGAGCTAATTCTAGCTGGCCCTTGCTTGTCACCCCCAAAACTGTCTCCTTAAACCTATGACCCTGTTCTCTCCTTACATCCTCTTCAATGTGAAGACCATCCATGTCTCTACTTGATTTCCCAGCCCAGATGGCTGGCCCTCTATGAGCCACCTGTGACCCCTCAAAAGGGAGATGAGCCCTGGGGCTCTTCCTGCTTCTCGTGGCTCTCCTCAGCTCCCTCTGTGTGCTACTACAGTTCTGGTAGCCACGTCTTACCTCTCACTTCACATGCTAGGTTCCTAGAAGACATTCACCAAGTAAATAGTCAGTATTATTAAATGCATGAGATTTTCTTTTAGGCATCTAAATTCCCTTATAATAGCATTATAGACATCC